ACTGAAACTTTTCCCACAAACTGGACATTCATATGGTTTCTCACCAGTGTGAGTCCTCTGGTGTTTCACAAGGTTAGAGTTATTATTGAAACTTTTCCCACAATCCGAACACTCATATGGTTTCTCGCCTGTGTGAGTTCTTTGGTGTATCACCAGGTAAGAGTTCTGACTGAAACTTTTCCCACAGTATACACACTCATATGGTTTCTCTCCTGTGTGAGTCCTATGGTGTATCACCAGGTTGGAATTCTTACTGAAATATTTCCCACAATCTGAACACTCATATGGTTTCTCTCCGCTGTGTGTCCTCTGGTGTATCACCAGGTTGGCATGCTTACTAAACTTTTTGGGACACTGTGAACACTGGTAGGGCTTTTCTCCATTATGGGTTCTTTGATGCTGAATAAGTTGGGGAGTGTAGCGAAAGACTTTGCCACATTTGGGAGATTCGTATGGTTTTTCACCAGTGTGGATCCTCTGATGCATAATCGGCTCTGATTTGCAATCTGTGCTTGTCTCACAATATACATATCTGTGGAGCTTTTCTGCCACTGATTTGTGATCTCTTCTTGGATGGTTCAAGCTGTTTGTTTCCTCACAGGGTGAGAACTGCATTATTGTCTGGGATGAGCGCTTCCTCCCCACAGACTTCTAGATATTTCCTCTTTTTCTGAATCAGGAAATGTTCCACCTTTATTTTTCATATAATGTTTCCTTGAGTTCCGCATATAATAATTGTTTAATGGCGCAAAACTCTTTTCCTATTTTTCTCTCTCTTGTCTTTTAATGGCTGGGGAAGGAGAAGAATTTTCTGGTATTCTGGAGGAAAGGGAAAAGACTTGTACCAGATGTTCCAGATTTGCTTTCCTTTTTAAAGCTGCTTCTGATTCTCTGTCGTCCAGAAGGCTCTTCTTGGCATTTCCTTTGCCTATAAGATTCACATAAAAGAGATACTTTAATTACTCTTTATAATACGGTTGCAAGATGTGAAAACAAGAAAAAAGCATACATAACAATGAAAAAGCAAACATGGCCAAACTGCTAGATTAACCACTGCCATTCACTATAACACATAAAAATTCAAATATTCACGACAATTCTATTGTTAACTCATGCAAATCACAGATTGTCAGGACTGGAAATACTGATGATAGGAACACGGGTACACATATGCTCAAAAAAAATACAGAAACACACCCCTCTATCTGGGTGTACCATATGTATGTATGTAGACAATCCATGTGTATTTTCTGTCTACAAAATGAAATCGGTACAGTATGTGAGCATTAACAGAAGGAACGCCCAATGCTGAAAGTTTAGGGAACAAACAGGGGGAACTTGAAGTATTAGTACATGAAGGCAGATATGATATAGTTGCCATTATTGAAACTTGGTGGGATGAAACTCATGTCTGGAATGTCCTGATAGAGGGATACAAACTATTCAAGAGAAACAAACCTAACAAAAGAGGAAGTGGAGTTGCATTATATATAAAAGTTCACTACATCTCTACAGAAATACACAATACCAAGGATGAAAACCTCCTAGAATCCATATGGGCCAATATAAAAGGAAAGAAAAATGGCATTGTTATAGAAATATACTACAGGCCAAGCAACCAAACGGAAGAAATAGACGAACTCTTTGCTAGTCAATTAAGAATTGTATGTAGGAAACATACCACAGTAGTAACAGGAGACTTTAACTACCCTGATACCAACTGGGAGACAAACTCAGCAGCAAGTGGGAGATCGAGCAGATTCCTAACCAATTTAGCTGACAACTTTGTCATCCAAAGGGTAGAGGAGGGAACTAGAGGAAAAACTCTACTGGACCTAATTCTTATTAATAGAGAAGAAGTGGTAGAAGGAGTTGAAGGTTCTGGAACCTTGGGTGAAAGTGACCACGTCATACTGGAATTCAATACAATGCAAACACAAGCAATAGAATATAATACAATCAGTGTCTTAAACTTTAGAAGAGCTGATTTTAACAAACTCAGAGAGACAAAATTTCATGGATAAAAATCCTCGAGGGGAAAACAACTCAAGAAAAAAGGGATACACTGAAAAATATGATCAGCCCAGTGCAACACAATACCACTAAAAAAGAAAAACAAGAAATCCAAGAAGGAACCAGCATGATTCCATAAAGATCTCTCTGATAAACTGAAAGACAAAAAAGGTAAGTACAAGGAATGGAAAGCGGGATACATAACTAAGGCAGAATATCAGCAGAGAGCCAGAATTTGCAAAGATGAACTCACGAAAAAAAAGGCTCACAATGAAAAAAGATTTGCAACAAAAGCCAAAGACAATAAAAATAAGTTTCTTTCAATGTATAAATAACAAAAAAAAAGTCAAGGAAACATTTGGTTCACTAAAGAGTAAAAATAGCAAGAAAGTAACAGGCAGTACAGAGAAAGCAGAGCAGCATTCTTTGCTTAAGTCTTCACGCAAAATGAAACTATTGCCCAACTTACCAAAAATATAACTGTAAAAGACAGACTCGAAATAAAAATTAAAATAAGTAACAAAATGGTAAGAGAACCCCCTTCTGACATTGATCAATATAAATCACCTGATGGATTACATCCCAGTGTTCTGAAAAAGATGGCAGATGTTATCTCAGAACCATTGTATCATTCACAAAATAATCAAAAACCAGGTCTGTGAACATCTAGAAATAAATAAAGTTATTACTAGTAGCCAGCATGGGTTTGTTAAAAACATGCTAAACCAATCTTATTTCATTCTTTGACTAAATTAGGAGACCAGCGACAATGTAGACTACAACCTATTTCTTGCTAAACTAGAAAAAATGTGGGGGGACACAGCATCACCACCAGATGACTTTGTAACTCGCTGACAAACTACTCAACCAGTAGTCCTTAATGGTACTAAATCTACATGGAGGGAAGTAAGCAGAGGGGTACGACAAGGTTCTTTCTTAGGCCCAGTACTCTTCAATATCTTCCCAAATAACTTAGATGAGGGAATAGAAGGAAAATTCATCAAATTTGCAGGTGACACTAAACTGGCAGGAACAGCCAGCACCCCAGAAGACAAGCTCAGGATCCAAAAAGATCTTGGGAGACTTGAACTATGGGCTCTATCCAGAGGTGGGCTGCACATACGTTAACAACCAGAACGCTGGAAATGTGAACACACTTGCCTCCAGAAGTTGTGGGTGTTTCATCGCTGGAGGTTTATAAAGGAGAGGCTGGACAGTCACTTGCCTGAAATGGTATTATAGGCTCTCCTGCTTGAGAGTCCGGGGCTGGACTAGAAGATCTCCAGGGTCCCTTCCAGCTCTATTCTGATCCTGAGACGGCGAAGCCTCTGCAAGATTTGAAGCGCCGGTGTTGCCCGTGAACTTCCTCCCTTGCAAGCAGAACAAGAGGATCATAAAGAACACCCGGAATCGGCCCTACAGCGACGGTGTGGTTGGAATCTCCCCAGCAACAGAAACTTGCAGGCAACTTAGAAGGTGAAGCTCTGGGCGGGGGGATAAAATTGGGCGGGTGGGGGGGGGGATGTGCAGGAGGAGACGTATTTCCGCGTAGTTGTTGATCTGCTGCTACAACGTGGAGCGAACCGAAGAGCCCGACTTGCTCCCGGCCTCTCCGCCCACCTGCCCTCCACTCACCTTCCAGCCGCCGCTTCGACCCGGGAGAAAGCCCAGCCGCCACCGCTCCCCTCCGCTGGGAGGCCGGAAGACGAGGTTCCTCGGCGCTTCGCCTTTCCATAGTCTCTCTAGCCACCCGCGACTCTATGGTCTCAATTCCTTTCAGCTACAGGAGCTTTCTACTCTTATTTGCCACTATCCAGGCGCGCTTATGGCCTAACCATAGAGCGCCATCTAGCCAGCAATAGCTAGATCGTCCAAGCTCTAGCTTCATCAGATTAGCTGGGTGCTTCCTGGCTCTTAATAGAAGATACTATCCTCCTCTCTGTCTATTACGCTCCCTGCTCACTAGAGCAGCCTTCCCAATTTCCAGACTTACTAAGATTTCAGCCTTGAGAATTCCCAGGCTGCTTGGGCAAAACACCTGGAGGTCACTAGTTTGCAGGCTGGAAGCTGATCTAAAGATTCCTGCATTTTAGCATGATTTGCCTGTCACTGGAGATAAAAAACTACATCCTAACATTTTTATTAATGATTCACTTGAGATCTAGTTGTGGCTGTTCCTGGATCTGCAGACCCTGGTTACAGTCAATCATGCCCTAGTTACCTGCATACAGGTAGTCCTTATGACCTTGACTGAGCCCAACATTTATGTTGCTATGTGAGAAATTAGTTTAAGTAAGTATTCCACAATTTTAAGACTTTTCTTCCCATATTTCTTAAACAAATGACTGCAGTTGATAAGTTAGTAACACTAATTAAGCTAAGTGAATCTGTCGTCCCCATTGACTTTGCTTGTCAGAAGATCACAAAAGATGAGCACATGACCCTGGGACAGTGCAACCATCATAAATAGATACATTGCATTGCATTGCATTGCAGCATTGCCTAGAATTCTAGATATAATTTTGGAACCACGGAATGTAATCTTTGAAAGTTTATGTAAGAAAAATATGTAGGAGAAATACCAGAGTATTGGAAAAGAACTGATGTGATTCCAAACTACAAAAATGGGGGAAATGATCTAGGAAATTATAGCCCAATCATTTTGACATCAATATCTGGAAAAATCCTGGATAAAATATAATCAAGCAGAGAATGTGTGAACACCTATAAACAAGCAAGGTGATTAGTAGAAGCCAGGATGGGTTTGTTAGAAACAGGTTTTGCCAAACAAACCTCATTGCCTTTTTTTGATTGAAGCAATTAAATTACCAGATCAGCAAAATGCTGTGCAGATGGAATACTTGGATTTCAGCAAGCCATTGGATAAATCTTTATGGAAAACGAAAGGTGTAAAAATGAAGGCAGAGAGACTTGGAGCAATTCAGTGCTTGTAGTCAGACATGGAATTTGAAAAAAAAAATCAAAAATTGGAAAGAATAGAATACAATTCTTTATTGGCCAAGGATGCTTTGCACACAAGAAAATGGTCTCCGGTGCATACGCTTTCAGTGTACATACAAAGTGATAGTCATACATCATAAGGCAATCATAAATCATAAGATACAATAATTGATCACATAATATACTGATAGGAAAAGGTAGTAGGAAACATGAGAAGGATAAAAAGACAAGGATAATAGCCATAAAGCCTTTGGGCAGAAGACAGTCAGAGGTGGGTTTCAGCAGCTTCTGACCAGTTCTGGAGAATCGGTAGCGGAAAGTTTGAGTAGTTCGGAGAACCAGAAGTAAAAATTCTGACTGGCCCCGCCCCCATCTATTCTCTGCCTCCTGAGTCCCAGCTGATCAGGAGGAAATGGGGATTTTGCAGTAACCTTCCCCTGGATTGGGTAGGGAATGGAGATTTTACAGTATACTTCCCCTGCCATGCCCACTAAGCCACACACCCCGAACCAGTAGTAAAAATTTTTGAAACCCACCATTGAAGACAGTAGTGTAGGAGTTGGCTGTTTAGTAGAGTGATGGCATGAGGGAAGAAACTATCTTTGTGTCTAGTTGTTTTGGTGTCCTGAGGGGAAGATGTTGAAAGAAGCAAGATTGGCTAGATAGAATTCTAAACAGAAACTCTCTAAACGACATTTCATGCCAACAGTTCAAGCCTGTTTGGAGACCAGCTCTTCAGATATTTAATTTAAAAGCTGGAACAGTAAAGTGCATAGTGGACCAGAACACCCAGTGAGAGTTGATTGGTTGAAGAATGTGGGATCCTGCATGAGGCTGTCTACATTATGATTGGTTGTTGGGTGTAAAGGGGGCCTTTCCCTTTTTTCCCGCCTTTTTCTTCTGTGTGCTCTGTATGCTGTTCTGAGATTTACCTGATTTATCTCAGGATGTAGCGATGTGCCTATCTTGTTTGTTTTAAATATAGATATTAAATAATTTATATAAAACTACCGTCAGTGTCTCTGTCTTAATATGGATACAAGCTGTATAATTTCCTAATACCAACCAACTTGGCTATTGGGCAGAGTCCAGTCTGTTCCCCAAAATGCAGGGCTTGCAGTTATTAGCGATCTCAAATCTGTCAATTAACCTGGAATTCTTTTATCTATTTCTCTGTCATTTAATGACCTTGTAATGTATTCCTTGCGGGGTGGAGTCAGGGCAACTGAATGGAGCTGAGTGTTTACTGGCCAGATGCCGTTCCTGTCACCAATGCAGAGTTTGCAGCAGATATAGTCCCATTGTGTACAGAGAGAAATATCTGCCTCTACCTAGGATCAAAGTCACAGCCTCCTGATTGTGAGGTGAGAGCTCCAGCGCACCATTTGAAATATTTCACCTGCAGGTAAGAAAACCCTGGAGAACAAGAATTAAACTGTAGTGGAACAGACAACCAACATTATTTAGACTTTTCTTTGAGGAAGACATTTCTAGAAATATTTAAAACACGGTCATTAAAAATTATCCACATCTGTATATTATTTATATTTTACATGAAATGAAGGCATTAAAACCTATCATATATTTTCAAACAACCAAAGAACCACAAAATAATACTTACTGTGCATTTGTCCGTCTGCATTCTAAGTATATTCACATTTATTTACTTATTAAGTTTAAGTTTAATGTGATTTATATGCTGCCCTATCTCCAATGGACTCAGGGCGGCTCACAACAGTAAAATACACAATAACATTAATACACTATTAAATTAAAAAGTCCGAATTAAACAATTTAAAATCAATTTAAAAACTATTAAGAAACTCCCCCCCCCCCATCAGTCCAGGCTACGAAATAACCAGGTCTTCAAATCACGGCGAAACGAGCGAAGGTCAGGGGCCATTCAAAGGAAGTTGGTTCGAAAAGGTGGGTGTGCCCACAGAGAAAACTCTCCCCCCGGGGGTGGCCAGCTGACATTGTCTGGCAGACGGCACCCTAAGGAGGCCCTGTCTGTGGGAACACACTGGTCGATTGGAGATTGTTGCTGGCTGCAGCAATTAAATTTGTATGCCATCCATCTCAGAGTCCCAAGTAACTAAGTTCGTCAATTAACTACAGCAAATAGTCCACACAGAGGGGCAATTAGGGCCTATCATCACAAAATGAATGACTCTCATGAAATAATGTATCTTTAGAAATATTACTGCAGAATATTAGTATCCAGGCGGGGCAAGGCAACTGTTTTTATTACAGGTAGTCTTCAACTTACAACCACAATTGAGCCCAAAATTTCTGTTGCTAAACGAGACAGTTGTTAAGTGAGTTTTGTCCCATTTTATCACCATTCTTGCCACATTTGTTAACTGAATCACTGCAGCTGTTAAACTAGTAACACAGTTGTTAAGTGAATCTGGCTTCCCCATTGATTTGGCTTGTCAGAAGGTCACAAAAGGGGATCCCATAACCCCAGGACATTGCAACCATCAGTTGCCAAGCATCTGAATGTTGATGCTGCAATGTTTCTAAGTATGAAAAAGGGTCATAACTCACTTTTTTCAGTAACGTTGTAACTTTGAATGCTCATTAAATGAATGGTTGTAACTCAAGGACTACCAGTATCTTGGAATGGTTACTGTCTCTGCAATAGTACATTCTAACCATTACGCCTCCAGGACTCGTATCTTTCTGTAATATATCAAATTGGATACAATAAGAATGGTTTGATGCCTTAGGAAAATTCTAATTATACATAGTTATATTTAGTTTCTTTCTATGCTTTCAGAAAACTCTTGTTGAAATCCTAATTCTCATTTACTAATTCATTGATTTTTGCAAGCAAATATCGTGTCTGAGCATTTCTTCTCGTTCAGTCTCTAAATAAACTTGGATCTTTGGCTGAAAATAATGAAAACAAGCAATGTATATCCTTGCATTCCGTTCCGTGTGCATTTGCCGTTTACTCATGCCGGCCACATGACCACGGAGACGTCTTCGGACAGCGCTGGCTCTTCGGCTTTGAAACAGAGAGGAGCACCGCCCCCTAGAGTTGGGAATGACTAGCACATATGCGCGAGGGTAACCTTTACCTTTATCTTTGTGAACTCTTAAAAGTTTTCTAAGATCCCATCAAGCTTTCCTTCCAATCAGAAAGCTGATGGTTTTTCTCCTGTATGAGTACTCTTAATAATAGTAGAATTGTGACTGGGCATCTGAATGGCTTTTGATCTGTGTGTAAACTGACATGATTTATTAGATTAGACCTACTTGTGAAAGCTTTCCCACAATTGGGACATTCAAAGGTCTCTTTTGTATCAGTTCCCTATTATTCCACCAGGTGGGAATTCCAACTGAAACTTTCCTGACACTCTGGGCGCTCATATGGTTTCTCTCCTGTGTGAGTCCTCTGGTGTTTAAGAAGATTAGACTTATTACTGAAACTTTTCCCACAATCTGTACACTCATACGGTTTTTCCCCAGTGTGAGTTCTCTGGTGTATAACCAAGTAGGAATTACGACTAAAGGTTTTCCCACAATCTGGACACTCATATGGTTTCTCTCCTGTGTGAGTCCTCTGGTGTCTCGCCAGGTCAGAATTCCAACTGAACGCTTTCCCACAATCTGGACACTCATATGGCTTCTCTCCTGTGTGAGTACTTTGGTGTTGCACAAGGTTACAATGTTGATTGAAACTTTTCCCACAAACTGGACACTCATATGGTTTCTCTCCAGTGTGTGTCCTCTTGTGTATCACCAAGTAAGAATTTAGACTGAAACTTTTCCCACAGTATAGACACACATATGGTTTCTCTCCTGTGTGAGTCCTCTGGTGTATCACCAGTTTGGAATTAATTTTGAAACTTTTTCCACAATCCGGACACTCATATGGTTTCTCACCCGTGTGAGTCCTCTGGTGTATCACCAGGTCAGAATTCTGACTGAAACTTTTTCCACAATCAGGACAATCAAAGGGTTTCTCCCCAGTGTGGGTCCTCTGGTGTCTCACCAGGTTATAATTATTTTTGAAACTTTTCTCACAATCTGGACACTCATATGGTTTCTCGCCCGTGTGAGTTCTCTGGTGTATCACCAGATAAGAGTTCTGATTGAAACTTTTCCCACAATCCGGACACTCATATGGTTTCTCTCCTGTGTGAGTTCTCTGGTGTATCACCAGGTTGGAATTGTTACTGAAACATTTCCCACAATCTGGACACTCATATGCTTTCTCTCCTGTGTGTGTCCTCTGGTGTATCACCAGGTAAGAGATCTGACTGAAACTTTTCCCACAATCGGGACATTCAAATGGTTTCTCTCCAGTGTGTGTCCTCTGATGTCTCACCAGGTTGGCATGCTTACTAAACTTTTTGTTGCACTGTGGGCACTGGTAGGGCTTTTCTCCAGTATGTGTTATTTTATGCTCAATAAGTTGAGAAGTGTAGCGAAAGACTTTGCCACATTCAGAGCATCTGTATGGTTTTTCACCTGTGAGGATCCTTTGATGCATAATCAGCTCTACTTTGCAATCTGTGTTTTTCCCACTATATGCATATCTACACCACTGATAGCCTTAGATTCTTGAGGTGGTCAAAAATATTTGTGATCTCTTCTGGAATGGTTCAAGCTGTTTGTTTCCTCACAGGGTGACCCTGCATTATTGTCTGGAATGAGCTCTTCCTCCCCACAGACTTATAGATATTTCCTCTTTTTCTGAATCTGAAAGTGTTCCACCTTTATTTTTCATATAATGTTTTCTTGAGTTCCACATATAATAATTGTTTATTGGCGCAAAACTCTTTTCCTATTTTTTTCTCTCTTGTCTCTTACTGGCTGGGGAAAGAGAAGAGTTTTGTGGTATTCTGGAGGAAAGGAAAAAGACGTTGTTTACCAGATGTTCCGGATTCGCTTTCCTTTTTAAAGCTGCTTCTGATTCTCTGCCGTCCAAAAGGCTCTTCTTGGCATTCCCTTTGCCTATAAGATTCACATAAAAGAGATACTTTAATTACTCTTCATAATATAGTTGCAAGATGTGAAAACAAGAAAAGAAACATGCATAACAATGAAAAAGCAAAGATGCCAAACTGCAAATTAACCACTGCCATTCATTATGGCACATAAAAGACTAAGTTCAAATCTTCACACAATCATGAAATTCTAATGTTGACTCGCGCAAACCACAAATTGTCAGCAATGCAAATTATTATAATCATATAGATACCTGGAAATACAAAGGATAGGAACAGAGATACACATATATTCGCAAAATAGACAGAAACACACCGCTCCATCTGTGTGTACCATATGTATTTATGTAGAAAATCCATGTGTATTTTCTGTCTACAAAATGAAATAGGTATAGTATGTGAGCATTAACAGAAGAAACGCCCATACACTAACGCTAAAAGCTTAGGGAATAAACAGGGTGAATTTGAAGTATTAGTACACACAGTATATCACAGAAGTGAGTACACCCCCTCACATTTTTGTAAATATTTAAGTATATTTTTTCATGTGACAACACTGAAGAAATGACACTTGGTTACAATGTAAAATAGTGACTATACAGCTTGTATAACAGTGGAAATGTGCTAACGCAACACAAAGCAATGCGTAAACCACTGGCAACAAAAGTGGGTACACCTCTAAGTAATAATGTCCAAATGGGGCCCAAATAGCCATTTTCCCTCCCTGGTGTCATGTGACCCATTAGTGTTACAATGTCTCAGGTGTGAAGGGAGAACAGGTGTGTTAAATTTGCTGTTATCCCTCTCTCACTCTCTCATTCTGGTCACTGGAAGGTCAACATGGTACCTCATGGCAATGAACTCTCTGAGGATCTAAAAAAACAAATTGTTGCTCTACATAAAGATGGCCTAGGCTATAAGAAGATTGCCAAGACCCTGAAACTGAGCTACAGCACGGTGGCCAAGACCATACAGTGGTTTAACAGGACAGGTTCCACTTAGAATTGGCCTCACCATCGTCAACCAAAGAATCTGAGTGCCCGTGCTCAGTGTCATATCCAGAGGTTGGATTTGGGAAGTAGACATATGAGTGCTGCCAGCATTGCTGCAGAGGTTGAAGGAGTGGGGGATCAGCCTATCAGTGCTCAGACCATACGCCACATGCTGCATCAAATTGGTCTGCAGGCCTGTTGTCCTGGAGGGAAGTCTCTTCTAAAGATGATGCACAAAAAACCTATTGCCCAACCTACCATAAATATAACTGTAAAAAGACAGCCTAGAAATAAAAATTGAAATGAGAAAAAGGTAAGAGAACCCCTGTTTGACATTGCTGAATATAAATTACCTGATGGATTATATCCCAGAGTTCTGAAAAAGCTAGCAGATGTTATCTCAGAACCATTGTATCATATCTTTAAAAAATCTTGCAGCACTAGGGAACTACCAGACGATTGAAAGGGAACTGATGTGAGGCCCATCTCCAAAAAAGGGGGAAAAAACAGACCCAAGAAAAAAAGGTACAAGTACAGATTAGGTGAAACCTGGCTCCAAAATAGTAACTGTGAGAGGGACCTTGGAGTCTTAGTGGACGATCACTTAAACATGAGGCAGCAGTGTGTGAGGCAGCAGCCAAAAAAGCTAATACAATCCTTGGCTGTATAAACAGAGGCATAGAATCAAAATCACGTGAAGTATTAGTACCAAATTATAAAGCCTTCATAAGACTACACCTGGAATACTGCATCCAGTTTTGATCATCACATTACATAAAAGATGTTGACACTTGGGGAAAAAGTGCAGAGAGGAGCAACTTTCTTTTGGAGGCTAAAACATGAAGAACGGTTGGAGGATGTGGCTATGGCTAGTCTAGAGGGAAAAAAGGACTAGGAGTAACATGACAGCAGTATTCCTGTATTTCAGAGGCTGCCACAAAGAAGGGGGAAACTTATTCTCCAAAGCACCAGAAGGCAGGACAAGAAACACTGGATGGAAACTAACCAATGAGAGAAACAACCTGGAATTAAGGAGAAGCTTCCTAACAGTGAGGACAATTAGCCAGTGGAACAGCTTTGCCTCCAGAAGTTGTGGGTGTTTCATCGCTGGAGGTTTATAAAGGAGAGGCTGGACAGTCACTTGCCTGAAATGGTATTATAGGCTCTCCTGCTTGAGAGTCCGGGGCTGGACTAGAAGACCTCCAAGGTCCCTTCCAGCTCTATTCTGATCCTGAGACGGCGAAGCCTCTGCAAGCTTTGAAGCGCCGGTGTTGCCCGTGAACTTCCTCCCTTGCAAGCAGAACAACAGGCTCATAAAAAACACCCGGAATCGGCCCTACAGCGACGGTGTGGTTGGAATCTCCCCAGCAACAGAAACTTGCAGGCAACTTGGAAGGTGAAGCTCTGGGCGGGGGAATAAAATTGGGCGGGTGGGGGGGGGGGATGTGCAGGAGGAGACGTATTTCCGCGTAGTTGTTGATCTGCTACTACAACGTGGAGCGAACCGAAGAGCCCGACTTGCTCCCGGCCTCTCCGCCCACCTGCCCTCCACTCACCTTCCAGCCGCCGCTTCGACCCGGGAGAAAGCCCAGCCGCCACCGCTCCCCCCCCCCCGTTAGGAGGCCGGAAGACGAGGTTCCTCGGCGCTTCGCCTTTCCATAGTCTCTCTAGCCATCCGCGACTCTATGGTCTCAATTCCTTTCTGTTCAGCTACAGGCGCTTTCTACTCTTATTTGCCACTATCCAGGCGCGCTTATGGCCTAACCATAGAGCGCCATCTAGCCAGCAATAGCTAGATCGTCCAAGCTCTAGCTTCATCAGATTACCTGGGTGCTTGCTGGTTCCTAATAGAAGATACTATCATCCTCTCTGTCTATTATGCTCCCTGCTCACTAGAGCAGCCTTCCCAATTTCCAGACTTACTAAGATTTCAGCCTTGAGAATTCCCAGGCTGCTTGGGCAAAACACTTGGAGGTCACTAGTTTGCAGGCTGGAAGCTGATCTAAAGATTCCTGCATTTTAACATTTTTATTACTGATTCACTTGAGAGCCAATTTTGGTTGTTCCTGGATCTGCAGAACCTAGTTACGGTCAATTATGCCCTGGTCACCTGCATACAAGTACTCGTTGATTTATGACCATGACTGAGCCCAAAATTTCTGTTGCTAAGTGAAACAGTTGTTAAGTGAATTTTGTCCCATTTTACAACCTTTCTTGCCACATTTGTTAACTGAATCACTGCAGCTGTTAAATTAGTAACACAGTTGTTAAGTGAATCTGGCTTCCCCATTGATTTGGCTTGTCAGAAGGTCACAAAAGGGGATCCCATGACCCCAGGACATTGCAACCATCAGTTGCCAAGCATCTGAATGTTGATGCTGCAATGGTCCTAAGTATGAAAAAGGGTCATAACTCACTTTTTTCAATGATGTTGTAACTTTGATTGTTCACTAAATGAATGGTCGTAAGTCAAGGACTACCAGTATCTTGGAATGGTTACTGTCTCTGCAATAGTACATTCTAACCACTATGCCTCCAGGACTCCTATCTTTATTTAATATATCAAATTGGATACAATAAGAATGGTTTGATGCCTTAGGAATATTTTAATTATACAGTTATATTTAGTTTTTTACTATGCGTTCAGAAAACTCTTGTTCAACTCCTAATTCATTTATTTTTCCAAGCAACTCCTCTTGTGTCTGAGAATTTCTTCTGGTTGAGTCTCTCATGTCTAAATAAACTTGGCTGTGGCTGAAAGTAACCCAGCAAGCTGAAAACAAGCAATGTATATCCTTGCATTCCATTCCGTGCACCTTTGGCGTTTAGTCATGCCGGCCACATGACCACCAAGACGTCTTCGGACAGCGCTGCCTCTTCAGCTTTGAAACGGAGATGAGCACTGCCCCCTAGAGTTGGGAACGACTAGCACATATGTGCGAGGGGAAACATTACCTTTATCCTTGTGAAATCTTGAAAGTTTTCTAAGGTCCCATCAAGCTTTCCTTGCAATCAGAAAGCTGATGGTTTTCCTCCTGTATGAGTCCTCTTGTCTTTAATAATACTAGAGTTTATACTGAAAGACTGACCACAGTTTGGGAATCTGAATGGCTTTTGATCTGTTTGTAAACTGACATGATTTATTAGTTTAGACCTACTTGTGAAAGCTTTCCCACAATTGGGACATTCAAAGGGCTCTTCTTTTATGTCAGTTTCCTATTATTCCACCAGGTGGGAATTCCAACTGAAACTTTCCTGACAATCTGGACACTCATATGGTTTCTCTCCTTTGTGAGTCCTCTGCAGTATCAGTAGGTTGGAATGTTGACTAAAAATTTTCGCACAGTTTGGACACTCATAGAGTTACTGTCCCGTGTGAGTCCTCTGGTGTATGACCAGATTGGAATTCTGCTGGAAACTTTTCCCACAATCCGGACACTCATATGGTTTCTTGCCCGTGTGAGTCCTCTGGTGTATTACCAGGCTAGAGCTCTGACTGAACCTTTTCCCACAGTATAGACACTCATATGGTTTCTCCCCTGTGTGAGTCCTCTGGTGTTTCAGAAGGTTAGAATAATTACTGAAACTTTTCCCACAATCTGGACACTCATATGGTTTCTTGCCCGTGTGAGTCCTCTGGTGTATCACCAATCCAGATTTCTGACTGAAACTTTTCCCACAATATAGACACTCATATGGTTTCTCCCCAGTGTGAGTTCTCTGGTGTATAACCAAGTAGCAATTATGACTAAAGCTTTTCCCACAATCTGTACATACATATGGTTTCTCTTCTGTGTGAGTCCTCTGGTGTCTCACCAGGTCAGAATTCCAACTGAAACTTTTCCCACAAATTGAACACTCATAGGGTTTCTCTCCTGTGTGAGTTCTCTGGTGTCTCACCAGGTAAAAATTGCAACTGAAAGCTTTCCCACAATCTGGACACTCATATGGTTTCTCTCCTGTGTGAGTCCTCTGGTGTATGACCAGATTGGAATTCTGCTGGAAACTTTTCCCACAATCCGGACACTCATATGGTTTCTCACCCGTGTGAGTCCTCTGGTGTATCACCAGGCTAGAATTCTGCTGAAAACGTTTCCCACAATCTGGACACCGATATGGTTTCTTGCCCGTGTGAGTCCTCTGGTGTATCACCAGGCTACATTTCTGACTGAAACTTTTCCCACAATCTGGACACTCATATGGTTTCTCTCCTGTGTGAGTCCTCTGGTGTATAACCAAGTAGGAATTATGACTAAAGCTTTTCCCACAATCTGGACACTCATATGGTTTCTCTCCTGTGTGAGTCCTCTGGTGTTTCAGGAGGTTAGAATTATTACTGAAACTTTTCCCACAATCTGGACACTCATATGGTTTCTCCCCAGTGTGAGTTCTCTGGTGTATTACCAAGTAGGAATTAAGACTAAAGCTTTTCCCACAATCTGGACACTCATATGGTTTCTCTCCTGTGTGAGTCCTTTGGTGTTTCACCAAGTCAGAATTCCAACTGAAAGCTTTCCCACAATCTGCACACTCATATGGTTTCTCTCCTGTGTGAGTACTTTGGTGTTGCACAAGGTTACCATTTTGATTGAAACTTTTCCCACAAACTGGACATTCATATGGTTTCTCTCCTGTGTGAGTTCTCTGGTGTCTCACCATGTAAAAATTGCAACTGAAACCTTTCCCACAATCTGGACACTCATATGGTTTCTCTCCTGTGTGAGTCTTCTGGTGTATGACCAGATTGGAATTCTTCTGGAAACTTTTCCCACAATCTGGACACTCATATGGTTTCTCACCCGTGTGAGTCCTCTGGTGTATCACCAGGTAAGAGTTCTGACTGAAACGTTTCCCACAATCCAAACACTCATATGGTTTCTCGCCCGTGTGTGTCCTCTGGTGTATCACCAGGTAAGAGTTCTGACTGAAACTTTTCCCACAGTATAGACACTCATATGGTTTCTCTCCTGTGTGACTCCTCCGGTGTATCACAAGGTTAGAATTATTTTTGAAACTTTTCCCACAATCCAAACACTCATATGGTTTCTCTCCGGTGTGAGTTCTCTGGTGTATCACAAGTTTAGAGTTCTGACTGAAAGTTTTTGCACAATCCAAACACTCATATGGTTTCTCTCCTGTGTGAGTTCTCTGGTGTATCACAAGGTTAGAATTATTTTTGAAACTTTTCCCACAGTCCGAACACTCATATGGTTTCTCTCCGGTGTGAGTTCTCTGGTGTATCACAAGGTTAGAATTATTTTTGAAACTTTTCCCACAATCTGGACACTCATATGGTTGCTCGCCTGTGTGAGTCCTCTGGTGTTTCAGAAGGTTAGATTTATTACTGAAACTTTTCCCACAATCCGAACACTCATATGGTTTCTCTCCTGTGTGAGTTCTTTGGTGTATCACCAGGTTGTAATTTTTACTGAAACATTTCCCACAATCTGAACACTCATATGGTTTCTCTCCGCTGTGTGTCCTCTGGTGTATCACCAGGTTGGCATGCTTACTAAACTTTTTGGGACACTGTGGGCACTGGTAGGGCTTTTCTCCAGTATGGGTTCTTTTATGCTGAATGAGTTGGGAAGTGTAGCGAAAGACTTTGCCACATTCGGGGCATTTGTATGGTTTTTCACCAGTGTGTATCGTCTGATGCATAATTGGCTCTGATTTGCAATCTGTGCTTTTCTCACAATATACATATGTGTGGAACATTTCCACCACTGATTTGTGATCTCTTCTTGAATCGTTCAAGCTGTTTGTTTCCTCACAGTGTGAGGCCTGCATTATTGTCTGGAATGAGGCTTCCTCCCCACAGACTTCTAGATATTTCCTCTTTTTCTGAATCTGGAAATGTTCCACCTTTATTTTTCATATAATGTTTCCTTGAGTTCCACATATAATAATTGTTCATTGGCGCAAAACACTTTTCCTATTTTTTTCTCTCTTGTCTCTTACTGGCTGGGGAAGGAGAAGAGTTTTGTGGTATTCTGGAGGAAAGGGAAAAGACGTTGTTTACCAGATGTTCCAGATTTGCTTTCCTTTTTAAAGCTGCTTCTGATTCTCTGCCGTCCAGAAGGCTCTTGTTGGCATTTCCTTTGCCTAGAAGATTCACATAAAAGAAATACTTTAATTACTCTTTACAATATGGTTGCAAGATGTGAAAACAAGAAAAAAAACATACATAACACTGAAAAAGCAAACATGCCAAACTGTAAATTAACCACTGCCATTCATTATGACACAGAAAAGACTAAGTTCAAATCTTCACACAATCATGAAATTTTAATGTTGACTCGCGCAAACCACAAACTGTCAGCAATGCAAATTATTATAATCATATAGATACCTGGAAATACAAAGGATGGGAATACAGATACACATATGTTCGCAAAATAGACAGAAACACACCGCTCCATCTGTGTGTACCATATGTATGTATGTAGAAAATCCATGTGTATTTTCTTTCTACAAAATGAAATAGGTATAGTATGTGAGCATTAACGGAAGAAACGCCCCATACACTAACACTAAAAGCTTAGGGAATAAACAGGGTGAATTTGAAGTATTAGTACACACAGTATATCACAGAAGTGAGTACACCCCCTTACATTTTGTAAATATTTAAGTATATCTTTTCATGTGACAAAGCTGAAGAAATGACACTTGGTTACAATGTAAAATAGTGACTATACAGTTTGTATAACAGTGTATATATGCCGTCTCCTCAAAATAACGCAACCCAAAGCAATTAATGTCTAAACCGCTGTCAACAAAAGTGAGTACACCTCTAAGTGATAATGTCCAAATGGGCCCCAAATATCCGTTTTCCCTCCCTAGTGTCATGTGATCAATTAAGTTACAAGGTCTCACGTGGGTGAACAGGTGTGTTAAATTTGGTGTTATCCCCCCCCCCTCTCATTCTGGTCACTGAGAGGTCAACATGGCAATGAACTCTTTGAGGATCTAAAAAAACAAATTGTTGCTGTACATAAATATGGCCTAGGCTATAAGAAGATTGCCAAGACCCTGAAACTGAGCTGCAGCACGGTGCCAAGACCATAAAGCGGTTTAAAAGGACAGGTTCCACTCAGAACAGGCCTCACCATGGTCGAACAAGGAATCTGAGTGCCCGTGCTCAGTGTCATATCCAGAGGTTGGATTTGGAAAGTAGACGTATGAGTGCTGCCAGCATTGCTGCAGAGGTTGAAGGGGGGGGGGGTCAGCCTATCAGTGTTCAGGCCATACGCCACATGCTGCATCAAATTGGTGTGCAGGCCTGTTGTCCTGGAGGGAAGTCTCTTCTAAAGATGATGCACAAAAAACCCTGGAAACAGTTTGCTGTAGACAAACTGACTAAGGACATGGATTTCTGGAACCATGTCCTGTGGTCTGCTGAGACCAAGATAAACGTATTTGGTTCAAATGGTGTCAAGCGTATATGGCAGCAACCAGGTGAGGAGTACAAAGACAAGTGTGTCTTGCCTACAGCCAAACATGTTGGTGGGAATGTCATGGTCCGGGGCTGCATGAGTGCTGCCGGCACTGAGGAATGTACAATCCATTGAGGGAACACATGTACTGTGACATACTGAAGCAGAGCATGATTACCTCCATTCGGAGACTGGACCGGACTGTTCTGCCCCAGCTATGGACCCCAAAGAACGCAGCACACACAAAGTCCGTTAAAACCTTAATTTACTAAATAAACTAGTTTTTTACAACAATGGCTGTTAATTAACTGTTGCCAAGAATTCAAAGAATAATACTGAAAGCTTACTATGGTTGGCAGAAAGTCCAGAAGCCATTTGCAGGAAGCTGATAAGCAAGATAAGACAGGAAGGTATGTGAACGAAGTTGTTCCCTGCAGATTGCTTCAGTCGGTGTTCCTCCTTAAATAGGCTAAGGGAGTGGCCAATTAGCCCAAGCCTTACTCTCGAGGAGACCTCCTCCTGAGGAGCCACTCCTGCCTTTTGGCAGCTCTGCACGCCCGTACATCGAGAAGAAGCTCCTTACTTAAGGGACCTTCTGGGGGTTCTGAAGGCCCTGGCTGAATCCCCACCTCTGGCACCACATCTTCTCCAGCCTCCTCATTTTCCGACTCGAGTGCCAGCTGCACAGACTGCTGGCGCAGCACACCAGCCTCCTCGCTGTCTGAATCAGCTACTAGCTGCACAGGCCACGTACGGGGCACAACACGGGCAGGGCAGTATTCCAACATGATAACGACCCCAAACACACCTCCAAAGCGATCACTGCCTTGCTAAAAAAGCTGAGGGTAAAGGTGATGGATTGGCCAAGCATGTCTCCAGACCTAAACCTATTGAGCATCTGTGGGGCATCCTGAAATGGAAGGTGGAGGTGTGCAACGTCTCTAACATCCACCAGCTCTGTAACGTCATCATGGAGGAGTGGAAGAGGACTCCATTGGTAACCTGTGAGGCTCTGGTGAACTCTATGCCCAAGAGGGCTAAGGCAGTGCTGGAAAATAATGGTGGCCACACAAAATACTGACACTTTGGGCCCCATTTGGACATCATCACTTAGGGTTGTACTCACTTTTCTTGCCAGTGGCTTAGACATTAATGGCTGTGTGTTCCGTTATTTTGAGGGGACAGCACATGTTATACAAGCTGTATACGCACTACTTTACATTGTAGCCAAGTGTCATTTCTTCAGTCTTGTCACATGAAAAGATATACTTATCAGGTTTTCAGGCCGTCTTCAAATAAATTGAGTCTCAAACAAAGTCTTTTTTGAAACAAACTTCCATTTTATTTAGCACGGCAACTTTTACACTGACTCCATGGAGCCAGCACTGATGTGCTGACCCAAAATCCCTCCTCTTCCTTCCCCCACTCCTCTGCATTCATTGGCCATCTTCCAAATCATTCACCCCTAATCTACTGCTCCAATTCAAAGAATTTCCCCCCTCCCATCTCCTAGGGGACATTATCTCCAGCTAAAATAAGTAGGTGAAAGGCAACCGTCCTGTTGCAGACACTTGCGTTCTCCTTCTTATGTCAGCACTAGGATAAATGCATCTTGACGTGCTGACAATACTTAAATATTTACAAAATGTGAGGGGGTGTGCTCACTTCTGTGATATACTGTATAGGCAGTTATGATATAGTTGCCATTACTGAAACTTACTGATATGAAACTCATGACTGAAATGTCCTGATAGAGGGATATAAACTATTTAAGAGAAACAGATCTAACAAAAGAGGAGGTGGAGTTGCATTATATATAAAAGATCACTACATCTCTACAGAAATACACCAAATCAAGGATGAAAACCTCCTAGAATCCATATGGGCCAATATAAAAGGAAAGAAAAATGACATTGGTATAGGAATATACTACAGGCCACCCAACCAAGCAGACAAAATAGATGGACTCTTTGCTAATCAATTTACAATTGTATGTAGGAAACATACCACAGTAGTAATGGGAGGTAACTAGCCTGATATCAATAGGGAGACAAATTCAGCAGCAAGTGGGAGATCAAACAGATTCCTAACCAATTTAGTTGACAACGTTGTTTGACAAATTTCATGCATAAAAATCCTGAAGGGGAAAACAACTCAAGAAAAAAGGGAACTGCTGAAAAATATGATCAGCCCAGTCCAACAAAATACCACTAAAAAGAAAAACAAGGAATCCAAGAAGAAACCAGCACCAGACTGCATAAAGATCTCTCTGATAAACTGAAATACAAAAAAGATAAGTACAAGGAATGGAAAGCGGGACACATAATTAAGACAGAATATCAGCAGATAGCCAGAATCTGCAAAGAGAAACTCAGGAAAGAAAGGCTCAGAATGAACAAAGACTTGCAACAAAAGTCAAAGAATAAAAATATGTTTCTTTCAACATATAAATAACAAAAAAAAAGTCAAGGAAACACTTGGTTCACTAAAGAGTGAAGATAGCAAGAAACTAACAGGCAGTAGAGAGAAAGCAGAGCAGCATTCTTTGCGTAAGTCTTCACACAAAATGAAACTATTGCCCAACCTACCAAAAATATAACTGTAAAAGACAGGCTTGAAATAAAAATTAAAATAAGTAAGAAAATGGTAAGAGACCCCCTGTCTGACTTTGATCAATATAAATCACCTGATGGATTACATCCCAATGTTTTGAAAAAGCTGGCAGATGTTAGCTCAGAACCTGTGATGACCCGGGGTGTGGCACAAAGGCAACACTGCCAAAAAATAAGTACAAGTCCCTTTATTAGCTCCAAACTTTGCCCCCAACATCCCTTTACTCTCCAGTCTGGGGAAAAACCCTTCCACAAACCTGTAAGCAGACAAAACGTCCAATCACAAATCCAACAGGGCAAGTTAAGGTGATTAATCTGGCAGGGCAAGCAAGATAAGGAATTCCAGAATTGAAGAAGCACGGCTGTAAATTAAACCATTCAGATAAAGCAGTGAACAGGAACATGCACTCAGTGTTTGTTCCTGACAACTGCCCCTCCCATTTGCCTCTCCTTTTAAATTCCAGCTCCAGGTGTATCTTGTGAAGGGGATCGGGGCCCTTTCCTCCCTCGTAAGCCATGCAACCCACATTGCTCTCTTCTCTGTTCTTCCCTACATGCCCTAAGATGAGGAGGGGGTGGGCTTTGGTCTTCATCAGAACCCTTTCTCCCTTGTTCTAACTCTCCCCTGCTCTGCCCAGCCTGACTTTGCCCTTCCCCAGTTTCCTCCACAGCCAACGGAGCCACTCTCTCGCTCTCTGTCAGCTGTTCCTCTTCCATCTCAGAGTCAGACTCCGATAGGGGCATGACAGAACCATTGTATCATACCTTTATAAAATCTTGGAGCACTGGGGATCTACCAGAGGATTGGAAAGGAGCTGGTGTGGTTCCCATCTTCAAAAATGGGGAAAAAACAGACCCAGAAAACAACAGACCAATCAGTCTAACATCAATACCTGGAAAGATACTGGAAAAAATAATAAAAAAAAAACAAATCTGTGAACATCTTTCCCCGAAAACAAGATCCTGTCTTATATTTTTTTTGAATCCTGAAATAAGCACTTGGCCTTATTTTCGGGGAGGTCTTATTATTTTGGGGTGCAAGGAGCAAGATGGAGCTCTTCTTGCCGTCTTACCTGATTTCCAGCTCTGTTTTCCTAAACTTAACCAGAGGAAATGGCGGGGACTGGCTGCGCATGTGTTTAAATATTTTCAGGGAGGGCTGATTTTTTTAGGGAGGGCTTATTTTAGCACATGCGTTCAAAAGCCCGATTGGGCTTATTATCAGAGGATGTCTTTTCAGGGAAACAGGGTAGAAACAACTAAAGTTATAACTATAGCCAACATGGGTTTGTTAAAAACAGATCATACCAAACCAATCTTATTTCATTCTTTGATAAAGTGATTAAATTAGGAGACCAGCGACAAAGTACGCAAAGACCACAACCTACTTCTTGCTAAGCTAGAAAAATGTGGGGGACACAGCATCACCACCAGATGAATTTGTAACTGGCTGACCAACTGTACTCAACGAGTAGTCCTTAATGGTACATCCACATGGAGGGAAGTAAGCAGAGGGGTACGACAAGGTTCTGTCTTAGGCCCAGTACTCTTCAATATCTTCCCAAATAACTTAGATGAGGGAATAGAAGGAAAACATCAAATTTGCAGGTGACACTAAACTGGCAGGAACAGCCAGCACCCCAGAAGACAAGCTCAGGATGCAAAAAGATCTTGACAGACTTGAACAATGGGCCCTATCCAACAAAATGAAATTTAATGAAGAGAACAACAAAGCTTTACATCTGGGCAGAAAAAACCAAAGGTACAAATACAGATTAGGTGAAACCTGGCTCCAAAACAGTAACTGTGAGAGGGACCTTGGAGTCTTAGTGGACGATCACTTAAACATGAGGCAGCAGTGTGTGAGGCAGCAGCCAAAAAAGCTAATACAATCCTTGGCTGTATAAACAGAGGCATAGAATCAAAATCACGTGAAGTATTAGTACCAAATTATAAAGCCTTCATAAGACTACACCTGGAATACTGCATCCAGTTTTGATCATCACATTACATAAAAGATGTTGACACTTTGGGAAAAAGTGCATAGAAGAGCAACTTTCTTTTGGAGGATAAAACATGAAAAACGGTTGGAGGATGTGGCTATGGCTAGTCTAGAGGGAAAAAAGGACTAGGAGTAACATGACAGCAGTATTCCTGTATTTCAGAGGATGCCACAAAGAAGGGGGAAACTTATTCTCCAAAGCACCAGAAGGCAGGACAAGAAACACTGGATGGAAACTAACCAATGAGAGAAACAACCTGGAATTAAGGAGAAGCTTCCTAACACTGAAGACAATTAGCCAGTGGAACAGCTTTGCCTCCAGAAGTTGTGGGTGTTTCATCGCTGGAGGTTTATAAAGGAGAGGCTGGACAGTCACTTGCCTGAAATGGTATTATAGGATCTCCTGCTTGAGAGTCCGGGGCTGGACTAGAAGACCTCCAGGGTCCCTTCCAGCTCTATTCTGATCCTGAGACGGCGAAGCCTCTGCAAGATTTGAAGCGCCGGTGTTGCCCGTGAACTTCCTCCCTTGCAAGCAGAACAAGAGGATCATAAAGAACACCCGGAATCGACCCTACAGCGACGGTGTGGTTGAAATCTCCCCAGCAACAGAAACTTGCAGGCAACTTAGAAGGTGAAGCTCTGGGCGGGGGGATAAAATTGGGCGGGTGGGGGGGGGATGTGCAGGAGGAGACGTATTTCCGCGTAGTTGTTGATCTGCTACTACAACGTGGAGCGAACCGAAGAGCCCGACTTGCTCCCGGCCTCTCCGCCCACCTGCCCTCCACTCACCTTCCAGCCGCCGCTTCGACCCGGGAGAAAGCCCAGCCGCCGCCGCTCCCCTCCGTTGGGAGGCCGGAAGACGAGGTTCCTCGGCGCATCGCCTTTCCATAGTCTCTCTAGCCATCCGCGACTCTATGGTCTCAATTCCTTTCTGTTCAGCTACAGGCGCTTTCTACTCTTATTTGCAGGCGCGCTTATGGCCTAACCATAGAGCGTCAGCAATAGCTAGATCGTCCGAGCCCTAGCTTCAACAGATTAGCTGGGTGCTTGCTGGTTCCTAATAGAAGATACTATCATCCTCTCTGTCTATTATGCTCCCTGCTCACTAGAGCAGCCTTCCCAATTTCTAGAATTACTAAGATTTCAGCCTTGAGAATTCCCAGGCTGCTTGGGCAAAATACTTGGAGGTCACTAGTTTGCAGGCTGGAAGCTGATCTAAAGATTCCTGCATTTTAGCAGGGTTTGGCTGTCACTGGAGATAAAAAACTCTCTACATCCTAACATTTTTATTACTGATTCACTTGAGAGCCAGTTGTGGCTGTTCCTGGATCTGCAGACCCTGGTTACAGTCAATCATGCCCTAGTCACCTGCATACAGGTAGTCCTTGACTTAGGACCTTGACTGAGCCCAAAATTTATGTTGCTAAGTGAAAAATTAGTTTAAGTGAGTATTCCATCATTTTATGACTTTTCTTCCCATGTTTCTTAAACGAATGACTGCAGTAACACTAAGATAAGTGGGGAATGGAAAGATTTATATTTATATTATATAGATATAAAAGGATGCAAATGACCAACTGTCTGCAAGGAATATAAATCCTTCCATTCCCCACTATTCTTACAGAGCTGAAGAAGCTTTTTGGATGAGAAGTGAAACATCTTCAAATGAAAAAACAAAGTCCAGTTGCCTCCTGAAAAAGCAGCTTTGGAACATAGAATGCAGATTATATTCTGAATCAAACTGATGTATTTTAACAGTACAAATATGGAGAGACGTTCAAGAACGGGATGAGATCAAGAGACTGGTGGGGCCGAGTAGAGCTTATGTATCTGTATCTTCTAACAGAAAAGTCATAACTGCAGTCTTATGTTTAAGTTAATGAAATGACACCATCCATATCCAAAATGATGAAACACGAGAGCAAGCAATAGCCAGAAATAGGAGAACTGATAAATATTTAGGGAAAGAACTAAGGCCGAGGGAATGGCTTTGCATGGCAACTTAGTATGTCCAGGAAGGAATGTGGAGTGGAAATGTATATCAAGTGAAATCAAAAAGCAAAAGTAGAATATCCCCGTCAATCGTGAAGCTGGCCTGATTGAGGCCATTTTGAGACTTCAGTGGTGACACACCGGAGAAGAGGGATAGAAAGGAGGGAATAGAGATAGTTGGGGTGTTGTAGTTTGTTTGTTTTTTTGTAGTGTTTTTTGTAGTGTTTACAGACCCCTCACATCCTGGACATAAACTGTTTCAACTACTACCCTCAAAACGACGCTGTAGGGCACTGCACACCAGAACAACTAGACACAAGAACAGTTTTTTCCCGAACGCCATCACTCTGCTAAACAAATAATTCCCTCAACACTGTCAAACTATTTACTAAGTCTGCATTACTATTAATCTTCTCATCATTCCTATCACCCATCCCCTCCCACTTATGACTATATGACTGTAACCTTGTTGCTGGTATCCTTAAGATTTATATTGACTGTTTCCCTGTGACTATCATTAAGTGTTGTACCTTATGATTTTTGACAAATGTATCTTTTCTTTTATGTACACTGAGAGCGTATGCACCAAGACAAATTCCTTGTGTGTCCAGTCACACTTGGCCAATAAAGAATTCTATTCTAAAAAGCAAAATACTTTCTCGTGGGAACCGAGGACATTCCTGCAGGTGCTCAGTAGGGGACTGGAGTCACCTAGCAACTTGACAGTATCCTGATTGGATAATGTGACTGATTGTTTTGAGAAAGTGACAAATGTTTACTTTTATTTAGGTGAAAACTGCGGGAATATTTTGAGTCGGTTTTCACCAGCCTGTGCCAATATGATATATCCAATAAACCTATTCTTTGAGGAAATTGCCTGCCTCAGAGTTTTGTTTGATATGGGTATGTTTTTTTGTTTTTTTTAATTTGATTTATATGCCGCCCTTCTCCGGAGACTCAGGGTGGCTTACAATGCGTTAAGCAATAGTCTTCATACTTTTGTATATTTATACAAAGTCAGCTTATTGCCCCCACAATCCGGGTCCTCATTTTACCTACCTTAGAAAGGATGGAAGGCTGAGTCAACCTTGAGCCTGGTAAGATTTGAACTTGCAGTAATTGCAGGCAGCTGATGTTAATAACAGTGCTTTAGTCTGCTGCGCCACCAGGGCTTGGAACCCTGACATTCCTACCAAAGCACATGGCCGACTAATCACCAGGCTGACCTTTTTAGAGGGACACCCTAAACTTCCATTTTCAATGCAGATCTAATAAGGTACGGACGGTGATAGTGGCCATTTCAGCAATTGGCTCTGAGCTGTTGTATGGAGGATTTGGAATAAAATAACCTCAACATATGCGCTCCATTTTTGATCTTTTTAACCTTATAGTTTTATACTGCTATTTATGACATTGTAATAATCAGATAGGAGGCATATACATTTAATAAATTAAAATGAATACATTTTATTGATTCCCTTTTTATTCAGGAACTCAAGACAGCATACAAAGCAGTCCCTGGTTGGCATCCTGAGCCAAGAAAGAGGCTGTTTTCTCATTTTAAACTCCCTTTGCCAGCCAACCGATCTGCATGGACATATTTTAAGCCTCTGAATCGGCATCTCAAATTGGGATTTCATAGCACCTCGCAGCCACCTTCCTGCTTAATCTAACGCTGGAACTCATGGTTTCCATTCAGTGTCTTTGACTCTTACACTGGATTCTTTAATTTATATTAATAATTTTAAACAGAAGATTAAAAACTAACACAAATACACCAAATAGAAGAAAAAAAGAAATTAAAAGTGTAAAAAGAAAAAGATAGAAATAAAGAGAAGTTATTTCCAATCTCCTTTACAGCAATTATAATTAGAAATACAAAATTACTTCTTACTCTATGGTTACAAAAAACCCCTCTTTTCTATTACCTGGTTTGTTCTTTTTATAATCACAACTGTTAATGATAACTTCATTTTTTTTTCTTTCATGCAAATCTCTGACAAACTTCCAATCAGTAATGAATGTAGAGAATGTCTTTTCTCTGATTTGAGGAAATCAATATAGTTGTCTCTGAAAATTCCATCATCTTCACCAACCATTTCTCCATTGCAGTTACAGTTGAATCTTTAGTGTATATAATACAGGTAATCTTCGACTTACTACCACAATGGGGGTCAAAATTCTGATCCTAGGATAGACGTCCCAAACCATCGGGCCACACAAGTGGAAGGCAAGCGTGCACATATGCGTACATCTCCATTTGCAGAGGCAAGGAAGCTCAGAAACAGCTGTTCTGTCCCACCAGCTGCCAGAGGAGCTGGAGGAAGACTCGGACAATTTATTTATTTTATTTATTTATATTTAAATTTATATGCCGCCCTTCTCCCGAAGGACTCAGGACGGTAAACAGCCAAAAGTAAAAAACATAGCATACAAAGTTTAAAAACAATTTAAAAATATATTAAACAATTTGGCCCAACAATTAAAATACCCCATTTAAAATTAAAATTAAAATTAAACAATTGGAGAGTTAGGCCAGCCTGGCCTGTTGAAATAAAAAAGTTTTGAGGGCCCAGCGGAAAGTACATAAATCCGGAATCATCCGTATCTCCAGGGGGAGCTCGTTCCAGAGGGCAGGTGCTCCCACAGAGAAAGCTCTCCCCCTGGGGGCCGCCAGTTGACATTGTTTGGCCGACGGCACCCCAAGGAGCCCCCCTCTGTGGGAGCATACTGGCCGGTGGGAGGCTCTCGGTGGCAGAAGGCAGTCTTGTAAATATCCAGGTCCTAAGCCATGGAGCTTAGGACCTGGGAATGAGGAGGTTTGGGAAGAACTTTGGCCAGTTCTGGAGTCTGGGGAAGGCACTGATGGATGCTCAGCGTCGGAGACAGAGACAGAGACAGAGACAGGGCCATCCAGCATTTCCCAGCCACTGGAGAGGCAGCTGCCTTTACAGTCAGACATGAATGAGGAGGAAGAACAGCTGGGGCCTGTTCCAGATGCATGTATGCGCAGAGCAGATAAAAGAGGTGAACAACAAAGGACAAAGAGTCTACTAGGGAAACAAAGCAAATGTGGGATGCTGAATGGCCCCACCCTGGCTGGGGAATAAATAGAAGAAAAGGGGAGTGGTGGTTGTAGGAAACAACTGTTTGGCTGGGAGCTCTCGTAATGAACTGATAAGGTCTATTGCTGCAGTTAACTCCTTGCAGGATTCTTGCCTGGACTTTCGGTGCGTGAATGCAATTAACTCGCAAGAGGTAAATAAAGAGGGCAGTGGTGAAATATAACATTTGTTATGACCAGTTCTGTGGGCGTGGCTTAGTGGAGGGTAATGGGACTGGGTGGGCGTGGCCAATTTTTAAAAAACTTTTAAAACCATTTTTTACATGTAAAACCATGTAAAAAAATGCTTTCAAAAGGCTCTGACGATTCCAGCTGAGTTGCCTGATCATCAGCGAGTTTTTAAAAAACTCTCTGCCGATCAGGCAACTCAGCTGGGATCATCAAAGCTTGGATTGTCAGAGCCATTTAAAAGAAAAAAAGCCTCTGATGATCGCCCAGCTCAGCTGGGCATGGGGGGGCGGGGGCAGGGATTTTTGCTATCGGTTCTCTGAACTGCCCGCCGCCATCGCTACCTACTCGCCTGAGCTGCTCCGAACCGGGAGCATTTCACCCCTGAAAGAGGGGGTTTTCTTTGCAAAGAGTCTGTATCTTGTTTCTGTGAAGGCTGGGTCAGAACAAGAGCTTGGACCTCCCAACTCAGATCCCCTCCCTCATGTTCAATATTAAGACATGTTTGATTAAAAAGAATCAGGCAAGACATTAAAATAGTTAAATTTCTCAACTGAGCTGTGCTATGAGATGAGAAATAAAATTCAAGAATCCTCGACACAGCCCAAAATTTCTGTTGCTAAGCGAGACAGTTGTTAA